TATGGTTCAATGTGGTTGCCGGATCACATGGGCTATAGCATGAGCGAACTGTGATGCTAGTGGAACAAGTGTTTCCTGAAAGCCAAAAAGCCCTTATTTTGATAAGGTGTACTAATTTGTTGAAATTGTCTAGGTGAACAGTTAAGTCAGACGCCCGCTAGTTATGATTGAGTTGAAGTTGTGGATTATTGGAAAGATATTTGCAAGATAAACTGAATTAACAAAAGAATGAACCAAATCGACTGTGCTGTTCAAAAGTTATACTGAAAAGTGTGTTCACGAAATTCGCTGTCTCGGACATTTCCATGGGATTTTGCCGTAAGCACCTCTCTATGGGAATTTTTCGGGTAACATTTTCCTTTATAAATTTTAAACGAACTAAGATTTGACATTGTGGTTTCCTTTTTGTTATTGTGGAGTCACTTGCGGGCTCTTTTATAAAAGCATGATTTTGATTCATCTTATTAAGTCGAATACATTAGCATGGACTATTTTGGAAATTAGCTGCCTTTAGTTTTGAATTCCTTACATTTTTATTGGCGACTTTGTCTGGTATGTTATAGATAATCACATTATTTCGAGAGACTATTCGCTTGGTGACTTCACTAGCTATCAAGGCCATAACGAATTCTACTTTGATCCTTTCTTCGAGTTCAGAACGAACCATATTCCTTGACAACAGTGACAGTGTCTTTAGTTCTAGCTTAAAATCATCATGCTTTTATAAAAGAGCCCGCAAGTGACTCCACAATAACAAAAAGGAAACCACAATGTCAAATCTTAGTTCGTTTAAAATTTATAAAGGAAAATGTTACCCGAAAAATTCCCATAGAGAGGTGCTTACGGCAAAATCCCATGGAAATGTCCGAGACAGCGAATTTCGTGAACACACTTTTCAGTATAACTTTTGAACAGCACAGTCGATTTGGTTCATTCTTTTGTTAATTCAGTTTATCTTGCAAATATCTTTCCAATAATCCACAACTTCAACTCAATCATAACTAGCGGGCGTCTGACTTAACTGTTCACCTAGACAATTTCAACAAATTAGTACACCTTATCAAAATAAGGGCTTTTTGGCTTTCAGGAAACACTTGTTCCACTAGCATCACAGTTCGCTCATGCTATAGCCCATGTGATCCGGCAACCACATTGAACCATAGTCCAGGTATAGCTAGAACTCATATCATTGAAAGGGATGCTCTCCGTTTTTTACACTACACACTCCCTTTTTAAACTTATTACTCATTAACGCACGTTCACTTCTGAACAAAATCTCAGCCTTGAGAACCTTAGCCTTTCTAGCCAAGCCTTCTTTTATACTTATCACTGTAACGTGGTGTTATCCAGCAGTAGCCGATTCCGAATTAAATATCCAAAACTATCGACTCTATCGTTGTGACAGAGAAACTAAGCGAGAAGGCGGTTGTCTTATATTTGCTTTGGATACCTTAACAACTAACAAAATTGAAGACAGTATGTTGAATAGTTTACCAGAATCGATCTGGATATCAATCAATACCCTGAATCTTAGTCTACTCCTAGGTTGTATACATAGAGCTCCTGACAGCACTGATAATTTGAATGATCTTATTATCAATGCATGCATGCATGCATATACTCTTAACTTCAGTGCTAAGATTATCACAGGCGATTTCAGTTATCCTGACGATTAACTGCAGCAACGGTAGTTGTCAGTCAAGAAGTGATGAATTTTCGTCAATCTCTAACCTGCACTCCTTATCACAGTGTGTTCGTACTCCAACAAGTGATGATAATACACTTGATCTAATATTTAGTAGAGATATCATTCCCCCATCTGTACAAGTTCACAAAGAGTTTGAAAGCAGTGATCATAAGATAGTAGCTTGTGCTCTACCCATCTATCCCCCCCACAACCGACCAATTCAAAGAACCTGCAATTATGTAGACTATAAGCATGCAGTCTGGAACGTCTTGCGCTCACTGATCAAACTCTCAGACTGGGATGAATTCTTCTCATGTATTAGTCTCACAGATGCCATCAACATATTCTCTTTGTTTGTTAACTCTTGTCTAGACTCCTGTGCACCACCAATTCAGACTTACAGGATTAGTAAAACTTACGAATTATATATACCAGCTAAATATCGTAATAAACTAAGACGCCTAAAGAAACGTTAATTTAAATCTAACGACTTCATGGCAGTCACACAAGTAACAATGATTTGTAACCAAATTAAAGAGAAACATAGGTTAAAAGCCATCAATGGAGAGCTATTAGCACTAAGTACTAGCTGAAAAAAATTGCAAAACCTAATCCACCTTTACAATAAACGTGCTAAATCAACTCAAAATGTTGATATACCATGCATCCTGCATAATAATAGTTTTATATATGACCCAAAAACTATAGCAGACCTTTCAGTGGAAATTTTGCAAATGGCAATGAATCCATAAATGGCTCTGTTTCTAGAGTTGTATACTTGACTGGTAACTCAATTAAATCCATGTCCTTCACACGTCTGAAAATTATTAAGGTTATAAATAACCTCAAGGTTTCGAAAGGTCACGGAGCAGACGGGATTACATCATTTCTCTACAAATATGGTGGTCCAGATATTCCACTTCTTCTCCTTAAGCTGTTTGCTCTCTCTATGGAATCAGGCTCTTATCTTGACCGTTGGAAAACCGCGTACATCATGCCACGTAACAAATCCGGAGATAAGACTGACATGAACAACTATCGGCCAATAAATATTGCTCCAGTTATCTCTAGGATTATGGAATAAATTACTAGTGACTAACTATTCAACTATTTATTGACTGAACAATTTATTGATGATTCGTAACATGGATTTCATAAAAATCGATCGTGCATGACATGTCATTTTGACTTCTTTAATTTAGTCTATTCGCTTAGTAGCCAAGGATATCTAGTATTAGTGCTATACCTGGACATTTCTAAGGCCTTCGACATGGTCAACCACCAACTTCTCATATGTAAATTCGCATCTTATTGGGTCGAAAACCCGTTACTAGAGTGGTTTGATTCCCTCCTCAGCAATGGACATCAATTAGTTAAAATGAACTCTTCATTTTCAAATGCCGTCCCTGTTAGAAGTGGTTTAATTCAAGGAAGTGTCTTAGGTCCTTTGATCTTTTTATATTTCCTTGATGAAATTTGTGAGTTTTTTAATGTGGATAAGTCCTTTCCGTTTGCAGACGATCCTAAGGTTTTGTACTCATTTTCTCAACATTAGCTGAGCAATATTCAAAATTGTATCAGCACGGACTCAATCAAGGTAGCACAGTGGTGCTCGAAATGGCAACTGCAGCTCATCACATCTAAATGCGGTTGGTTATGCTTCGCAGATACATCAGTCAACCTCAATCTTACCATAACTGGTAAAATATTATCTAGGTTACACACAGTAGTAGATCTAGAACTTAGGTACTGCAACGACTTGTCGTTTACTGAACAGATAACGAAGAGACGTCGAAATCTGAACGCCTTATAGGTTTCATAACTCAGAGCCTTCATAACAACGAATCTCGTATTTTAATGTACAAAGTGTGTGTTCGACCACTCCTCGAATACTGCGCGTTTCTCCTCAGTAGCACGCGTATAATGGATAAGTTAAGACTGGAATCAGTACAGAGACGATTTACACTTCGTACTTTTGGAACTGATAGTGTCTTGACATATAATTCGATTTGTAGTAAACTGCGGCTTAACTCTTTATGGTTGAGGAGACTCAAACTTAACTTTATCTCCTTCAAAATAACTAACAGACTCTCCCTCACATCCAGTCAGGAGATTCAATATTCTAGAGCCTCACATTACGACATTCGTAACTCCTTGTCTTTAGCGAAACCAACATATTCTAGATCTTCTCTCTATATGAATTACTTTGCCTGTAAGTTTACTAGGCTCTGAAAAAAATTACCTCAAACTATCCGTAAGTTAAACTCTCTCTTATTGTTTGTTCGCTCATTTAATGCCTTTTGCTCCTCTGAAAATGCATTAAATGCTCTAGCGACAGCAAGTGTATCTTACTCCACAAGTGAGATTATTGGAACTTTAAATGTTCAACCTCTTACTTGCTATCATTGTTTTGTTGTTCCGTGCTCTTTGCTTTATTCTTACTTTTTCTAGTTGTAGATAATTATCAACAACTCGCTCTGGCACTGGAAATAGCCTTACAGAACAATGTTGATCAATCATCAGGCTATCCACTTAATAAAAAAATGACAATATCCCTGTTGTTGTATTGGCTTGCCGTGACATATGCCATATTTAAACTATTTATCAATTACTAAGCCAGCAAACATAAAACTTTCTTATATTTCATGTTTGCTCTCTACATTAAATGTTGATTTTTATAACAATATGATCATGCCTGTAAACTGTTGTGAATTCTGTATATATTATATTATTTTCAGAATATAATATTATCTTATTATCTGAATCATTAACATCATCTAAGCATCGTCAATAAAATCATCATCATAATCATCCAAAGAATCATCATCATTAACATCAGCACATCATCCAAATCATCATCATCATGAAAATCATCTTCATCATAAAAATAATCATCATCATTCAAATCATTATCTCCATCATTCAAACTTTCACCAAAATCCTCCAAATTATTATCCTCATCATCATCATCAACCAAATCATCATCATCATTATCATCAATAATGTATCCATCATCATAATAATTATCCAAATCCTTATGATTCAAATCATCATCATTTGCCGAATCATCGTCTATATAAACATCATCTTAATCATGAATAGGATCATCATATTCATCATCAACAGCAGTATCAACATCATCATATTCATCATCATCTTCAACATCATAATACTGGTCATCATCGTGAACTGCATCACCATCATCATCATCATGATTAACATCATTCAAATCATCATCATCCAAATCATCATCCTAGTCAACTTAATCATCATCATCATCATCTGCCGAATCAACGTCACTGTAATCATCATTCTATTCATGATTATGTTCATCGTAGTTATCATCAACAACAGTATCGTCATCATCATATTCATCATCATCGTCATCAACAACGTCATTATCAACATCATAATGCAGGTCATCATCGTGAATTGCATCATCATCATCATCATCATCATCATCATCATCATCATCATCATCATCATCATCATCATCATCATCATCATCATCATCATCATTCAAATCATCATCATTCAAATCATCATCCTAATCAACATAATCATAAACAATTAATTTATAATCACCAACATCATACGAATCATCAGCATTAACATCATCAGCATGATCATCATCCTCATGATTATCAAAATCTTCATCATTATCATCGTCATCATCATCATCTCAATCAACATAATCATCATTTTCCAAAAAATCATCATCATCATCATGACGAACATCAACATACGAATCATCAACATGAATTCCATCATCATCTTTTTTATCATTATGATTATGATGATGAAGATGTTGAGGAATTTTGGATGATGATTATGATTCGTACGACGATGATGATGATTATTATTATTTGAATGGTGACGATGATGATGAGATTTTGTATGACGATGATAATGATGATTTTGATGACGATAATATTGATTTCGATTATGCTGTTTATAAAAATGGATTTTGCGACTATTATTATGATAATGTACGTGATGATGATGATGAATTGGATGACTATGATGTTGATGTTGAATGCTATTATGCTGATGTTGATGATGATGATGATGATGATGATTCGTATGATGATGGTTTCTATCATGATGATGATTTTGATGATGATAATTATGATTTAGATAATGTTGATGATGAAGATGGTTTGGATGATGATGATGATGATGATGATGATGATCATGCTAATGAACATGCTAATCAACATCATCATCATCATCATCAACGTCGTACGAATTATAATCATCATACTAAATTCCTCATCATCTTCATCATTCAAATCTTAATTATCAACATCATCCACATCATTATCACATCATCCATATCAACATCATCCAGAACGTTATTATTAGCATCATCGAACAAAATGAAATCAACATCCAGATCTTCATCATCATCGTCATCATAATCATCATCATCATCATCATCTTCAGGAACATCATCAGACGAATCATCGTCATCGTCATAATCATCAACAACATCATCAAAATCTTCACAACGATCATCATCATAAACATCATCAGCATCCAAATCATTATCATCATCATCATCACGAGAATTTTATACTAATCATCATCATAAACTCCATCATCATCGTTATCATAATCATTGTCGTCAATCATCATCAACATCAAACTCAAGAGCATCATCATCCAAATCATAATCATCATCGTCATCATTCAAATCATAATCATCATCATCATCATCATCATCATCATCATCATCATTATCATCATCGAAAGAACCACAATCATCATCTTAAATTCCTCATCATCTTCATCATTCAAATCTTAATTATCAACATCATCATCATCAGATCATCCATATCAACATCATTCAAAACATTATTATCATCATCATCCAGCAAAATGAAATCATCATCCAGATCTTCATCATCAACATTATCATCGTCATCAACTTCATTATCATCACCTAATTCATCATCATCATTATGAAGAGCATTTATTTACCAATAATCATCATAAACGCCATCATCATCATCATCATCGAAATCATTATGATCATGGTCATCATTCAAATCATAATCATCATCATCATCATCATCATCATCATCATCATCATCATCATCATCGTACGAATCATAATCATCATCCTAAATTCCTCATCATCTTCATCATTCTAATCATTATTATCAACATCATCATCATCTTCAATATCAACATCATCCAGAACATTATTATTATCATAATTGAACAAAATGAAATCATCATCCAGATCTTCATCATCATCAACATTATCGTCATCATCATCATCATCATCGTCATCATCATCATCATCTTCAGGAATATTATCAAACGATTCATCGTCAGCATCATAATCATCAACAACACCATGAAAATCTTAAAAACATCATAATCAAAATCATCGTCATCATCATCATCATCATTATCATCAATCAAATCATCATCATCGTCATCATTCAAATCATGATCATCATCATCGTCATCGTACGAATAATAATCATCATCCTAAATTCCTCATCATCTTCATCATCGAAATCATAATTATCAACGTCATCACCATCATTATCAACATCATTCAGAACATTATTATTATCCTCATCGAACAATATGAAATCATCATTCAGATCTTCATCATCATCATCAACACTATCGTCATCATCATCATCTTCTTTAGTAACATCATCAAACGAATCATCGTCATCATCATAATCATCAGCATACGAATCATCATCAGGATCACGAGAATTTTATACGAATCATCATCATAAACTCCATCATATTCATCATCATCGTTATCTTCATCATTGTCTCCATCATCATCATCAACATCAACCTCAACATGATCATCATTATTGAAATCATCATCATCATCTTCATCATTCTAAACATAATCATCATCATCGTACGAATCATAATCACCATCCAAAATTCTTCAGCAACTTCATTATTCTAGTCATAATTATCAACATCATCATCTTCATCATCCATATTAACATCATTAAGAACATTATTATCATCATCATCGAACAAAATGAAATCATCATCCAGATATTCATCACCATCATCAACATTATCAGCATCATCATCATCTCCAATATCATCATCCAATACATCATCTTCATTCTCAAGAGCATTTTCAGGCTAATCATCATCATAAATTTCATCATCATCATCATCATCATCATCATCATCATCTTCCAAATCATTATCATCATCGTCATCATCATCATCGTCATCATCATCATTGTCATCATTCATTCATAATCATCATCATCATCATCGTACGAATAATAATCATCATCCTAAATTCCTCATCATCTTCATCATCGAAATCATAATTATCAACGTCATCACCATCATTATCAACATCATTCAGAACATTATTATTATCATCATCGAACAAAATGAAATCAACATCCAGATCTTCATCATCATCGTCAACATTGTCGTCATCATCATCATCATTATCCAAATCGTCATCACCGTCATCGTTCAAATCATAATCATCATCATCATCGTTTAAATCTTTAGCAGCATCCAAAATTCCTCATCACCTTCGTCATCCTAATCCTAATTATTAACATCATCATCAATATCATCGTCATTCATATCATAATCATTTTCATCACGAACAGAATGATATCATCATCCAGATCTTCATCATCATCGTCATCATAATCATCATCATCATCATCTTCAGGAACATCATCAGACGAATCATCGTCATCGTCATAATCATCAACAACATCATCAAAATCTTCATAACGATCATCATCATAAACATCATCAGCATCCAAATCATTATCATCATCATCATCTTCACGAGAATTTTATACTAATCATCATCATAAATTCCATCATCATCGTTATCAAAATCATTGTCGTCAATCATCATCAACATCAAACTCAACATCATCATCATCCAAATCATCATCATCATCGTCATCATTCAAATCATAATCATCATCATCATTATCGAGCGAATTATAATCATCATCTTAAATTCCTCATCATCTTCATCATCCTGATCATTATTATCAATATCATCATCATCATCTTCAATATCAACATCATCCAGAAAATGATTATTATCATCATCGAACAATATGATATCATCATCCAGATCTTCATCATCATCATCAACATTATCGTCATCATCATCATCATCATCATCTCCAATATCATCATCCAATTTATCGTCTTCATTCTGAAGTGCATTTTTTGGCAAATCATCATCATAAACTTCTTCATCATCAACACCATCATCTTCCAAATCATTATCATCATCGTCATCATTCACTCATAATCATCATCATCATCGTACGATTCATATTCACCATCCAGATTTCCTCATCATCTACAACAACCAAATCATAATTGTCAACATCATCATCATTCATATCAACAACATCCAGAACGTCATTATTAGCATCATCGAACAAAATGAAATCATCATCCAGATCTTCATGATCATCATCAACATTATCGTCATCATAATCATCATCATCATCGTCGTACGAATCATAATCTTCATCCAAATTCCTCATTATCTTCATCATCCTAATCACAATTATCAACATCATCATCATCAATATCAACATCATCCAAAACATTATTATTATCATTATCGAACAAAATGAAATCATCATACTGATCTTCATCATCATCAACAACAATATAGTCATCATCAACATCATCACCATCTTCGTCATCATCATCATCATCATCATCATCATCATCATCATCATCTTCTTCTTCTTCTTCTTCTTCAGGAACATCATCAAACGAATCATCGTCATCATCATAATCATCAACAACACCATGAAAATCTTCATAACCATCATCATTATAATCGTCATCATCATCATCATCCAAATCATCATCATTATCACGAGAATTTTTTAAGAATTATCATCATAAACTCCATCATCATCATGAACCAAATTTTCATCACCTAAATCTTCATCATCCAAAGGATCATAATCGTCATCATCAGCATCATAATCATCATCAAAATAATCATCATCTTAAACTCCATCATTATAATCATCATCATGAACATCATCAAACGAATCATCGTCATCATCATATTCATCAACATTATCATCATAAACTCCATCATCATCAAAATCAATATTATCATTATCCAAATCGTCATCATCATCTTCATACAAATTATCATCATCATCACCATGATCATCATCATCAAAATCATTATCATCCGGGTCATCATTCAAATCATAATCATCATCATCATTATTATTATCATCGTACGAATAATAATCATCATCCTAAATTCCTCATCATCTTCATCATCCAAATCATAATTAGCAACATCATCATCATCCTTATCAACATCATCCAGAACATCATTATTAGCGTCATCGAACAAAATGAAATCATCATCCAGATCTTTATCATCATCATCAACATTATCGTCGTCATCATCATTATCATCACCTTAATCATCATCATTGTCATCGTTCAAATCATAATCATCATCATCATCGTCGTACGAATCATAATTATCATCGAATATTCCTCATCATCTTCATCATCCTAATCATAATTATCAACATCATCATCAACATCAATATCAACATCATCCAGAACATTAATTTTATCATCATCGAACAAAATGAAATCATCATCCATATCTTCATTATCATCATCAAAATCATCATCACCATCATGATGAGAATTTTTTACGAATCATATTCATAAAGTCCATCATCATCATCATCGTCATCAAACAAATCTTCATCACCTAAATCTTCATCATCCGATTCATCATAATCATCATCATCATTGACATAAGTATCAGAAAGTTTGTCAAACGAATCATCTTCATCATCATAATAGAAACGATCATCATGCGAATCATCGTCATCATCAACATCAGCATGTTAATAATTAACATCAACAAATAGGTCATCCAAATCATCATCATCATCACAAGCATCATCATACAATTCACAAATATAAACTCCATCATTGAATTCATCATCATCAAAATCAATATAATCATCTTCCATATCATCATCATCATCGTCATACAAATTCTTATCATCACCATCAACATTATCATTGTCATCATTCAAATCATAATCATCATCATCATCGTACAAATCATAATCATCATCCTAAATTCCACATCATCTTCATCATCCTAATCATAATTATCTATATCATCATCATCATCAGTATCAGAAAATGAATATTATCATCATCGAACAAAATGATATCATCATCCAGATCTTCATCATCACCATCGACATTATCGTCATCATCATCATAATCATCAACAGCATCATCAAAATCTTCATAACGATCATCATCATAATCGTCATCATCGTCATACAAATCCTCATCATCATCATCCAAATCATCATCATCATCATCATCATCGTCGTACGAATCATAATCTTCATCCAAATTCCTCATTATCTTCATCATCCTAATCACAATTATCAACATCATCATCATCAATATCAACATCATCCAAAACATTATTATTATCATCATCGAACAAAATGAAATCATCATACTGATCTTCATCATCATCAACAACATTATAGTCATCATCATCATCATCACCATCTTCGTCATCATCATCTTCTTCTTCTTCTTCTTCAGGAACATCCTCAAACGAATCATCGTCATCATCATAATCATCAACAACATCATCAAAATCTTCATAACCATTATCATTATAATCATCGTCATCATCATCCAGGTCATCATCGTTATTACGAGAATTTTTTAAGAATTATCATCATAAACTCCATCATCATCATGAACCAAATTTTCATCACCTAAGTCTTCATCATTAAAAGCATCATAATCGTCATCATCAGCATCATAATCATCTTCATCATCATAATAGTAACCATTATCATTCGAGTCATCATAATCATCAACATCAGCATGTAAATAATCAACATCATAGTCATACAAATCATCATCATCATCAAAGCATCATCATCATCATGATCATTATCATACTAATCATCATCACAAACTCCATCATTATAATAATCATCATCAAAATCATTATTATCATCATCCAGAACAATATTATTATCGTCATCGAACAAAATTAAATCATCATTCAGATCTTCTTCATCACCACCAACATTATCGTCATCATCATCATCATCATCATCTTCTTCTTCTTCTTCTTCAGGAACATCATCAAACGAATCATCGTCATCATCATAATCATCAACAACACCATGAAAATCTTCATAACCATCATCATTATAATCGTCATCATCATCATCATCCAAATCATCATCATTATCACGAGAATTTTTTAAGAATTATCATCATAAACTCCATCATCATCATGAACCAAATTTTCATCACCTAAGTCTTCATCATTAAAAGCATCATAATCGTCATCATCAGCATCATAATCATCTTCATCATCATAATAGTAACCATTATCATTCGAGTCATCATAATCATCAACATCAGCATGTAAATAATCAACATCATAGTCATACAAATCATCATCATCATCAAAGCATCATCATCATCATGATCATTATCATACTAATCATCATCACAAACTCCATCATTATAATAATCATCATCAAAATCATTATTATCATCATCCAGAACAATATTATTATCGTCATCGAACAAAATTAAATCATCATTCAGATCTTCTTCATCACCACCAACATTATCGTCATCATCATCATCATCATCATCTTCTTCTTCTTCTTCTTCAGGAACATCATCAAACGAATCATCGTCATCATCATAATCATCAACAACACCATGAAAATCTTCATAACCATCATCATTATAATCGTCATCATCATCATCATCCAAATCATCATCATTATCACGAGAATTTTTTAAGAATTATCATCATAAACTCCATCATCATCATGAACCAAATTTTCATCACCTAAATCTTCATCATCCAAAGGATCATAATCGTCATCATCAGCATCATAATCATCTTCATCATCATAATAGTAACCATCATCATACGAATCATCATAATCATCAACATCAGCATGTAAATAATCAACATCAACATCATGGTCATCCAAATCATCATCATCATCAAAGCATCATCATCATCATCATCACGAACATTATCATACTAATCACCATAACAATCTCCATCATTACAATCATCATCATCAAAATCAATATTATCATCATCCAAATCGTCATCATCATCTTCATACAAATCATCATCATCATCATCATCATCTAAATCATTATCATCATGGCCATCATTCAAATCGTAATCATCATCATCGTCATCATCGTCGTACGAATCACAGTCATCATCCTAAATTCCTCATCATCTTCATCATCCTAATCACAATTATCATCATCATCATCATTAATATCAATTTCATCCAGAATATTATTATTATCATCTTCAAAAAAAATGAAATCATCATCCATATCTTCATCATCATATTCATCTTCATGAACATCATCAAACGAATCATCGTCATCATCATATTCATCAACAACATCATCAAAATCTTCATGACGATCATCATCATAATCATCATCATCATCACGAGAATTTTGTATGAATCGTCATCATTAGCTACATCGTCATCTTCATCATCTTTATCATCATCATTGACCACATAATCATCATCAACATCATCCTCAACTTCATCATCACCCAATCATAATCACCACGATCATTATCCTACGAATCATCATCATTAACTCCATCATCAACATCGTCGTGATCATCATCAACCAGATTTTCATCACCCAAATCTTCATCATCCAAATCATCATAATCATTATCATCATCATAATAGAAACCATCATCATACGAATCATCATCATCATCAACATCAGCATGTTAATAATTAACATCAATATCATAGTCATCCAAATCATTATCATCACTAACATTATCATTCCTATCATCACCATAAACTCCATCATTATAATCATCATCATCAAAATCAATATTATCATCATCCAAATCATCATCATCATCGTCATACAAATACTCATCTTTATCATCATCATCATCATTGTACGAATCGTAATCATCATCAAAAATTTCTCATCATCTTCATCATTCAAATCATAGCCTTCATCATCACCATCGTACGAATCATAATCATCATCCAAACTTCCTCTTCATCTTCATCATACTATTCATAATTTTCAGCGTCATCGTCATCATCAATGTCAATGAGTCAAATTTTTTTTTATTCCAAGTTTGTGTCAGCAAATGTTCGAATAACACATTTTTATTCTTAGTTTTGTACTCACTAAGGATAAAATTAGGCTGAAATCAATGCAGAGACGATTTACACATCGAATTCAAGGCACTCTTTGTAACATTATTAAACTTGGGATTCACCTTCTATGAAAAAGTAGACTCAAAATGAACCTGTTCATCTTCACAATATCTATTAAACTACCTTCACATACAGTCGAGTAATTAAACATGCGAAAACGACATCTATATGTTGTTGTAACAGGTGAAAGCAAGCCACTGTAAACCATCTCTCTATACGAATTACTTTACCTGTAAATTTTATTGACTGTATGTTATTCAGCCACATTCCTTTGGAAAGATAAATTCGCTCTCATCCTTCGTTCACTGCATGTTGCTCCCGTGAAAATGCATTGAGTAATTAGCAAATGTAGGTGCATTTTATTCTGCCAGACAGATTATAGGAACCTTAAATGTTTGGTCATTGTAATTGTATAATCCACTAGGTGAAATTGTCTATCTAATGTGACGTTTATAAACACTATCCATGTCAACAGTTACAAATCCTAATTTATAAATTATATGAAGAGTTTTTCCCTGACTCCCATAACATTCGCATTTTCGTAGACCTGACCGACATATTTTGATGGTCATTGCTTTGTTGTTACATGCTTTCTTCCTCTACTTTATTTTCTTTAGTTCTAGATGGTCATAACTAATTCATCGTCGTGCAAAATTGACCTCAAATGCATCGTTCAAAAATCAACCGAACCTCTTTTTACGAACAAAAAATTCTTCGGTCGATGCATTTCATTGTCGTCAATAAATGAGCTACTTTGATTTATTCAACCTGATTATATTTGAAAAATAGATCAAAATCGTAAACAGTAAAAGAAATAATTTTTGAATTGATTACAGCATAAGGAGTCTACGAAATGAATTATTGTAATAATCTAAGTTCATACTGTCAGGCATGAGTTTATGCAAAATCATGTGGATAATGGTAACAGAGGGATGATTATGATAGTGACTTCCAAAAAGAAGTTGATCATATTCCTACTGGTTCATCCAGGACACATTCTTCACATGTAAACTCTGTTTGTTAGTAAACCATTTTTGTTCATTCCAGTCAACAGCGATTGATTTAACTGAAGGTAGAATGTTATTATTCACTGTTAACCATCATTTGTGTATTTGTTAATGAAGAAGGTGTACACTTTACCCATTGTGGTTTTTCGTGAAGTTTACATATTTTTTTTTAATATTTATTCGCTGTTGAGTCTTTCGGTTTGCAAAAACTGATATAAAGTGATTATTTTGGCTTTTAAGTAATGCTACTTTCAAAGTGTTATTAAATTCGGATGTTGAATTATGCAACCTCTTCTTTTTCGATGAGGAATGATCTAATTTCAGCCTGTTGATTTGATGACGGCTTGCCTATTTTCTATAAACCAATTTCATGAGTTTGTATCAGTAGACATTCTTACATAGAACGGATATGAGATAAGTCGATTTCATCCACTGTTTGTTGAGAATGATGCAACGAGTTTTGGTTTACGTGTAATGCATATTCAAAAAACCACATCTAATGAATCGTTTGATTGACTGTCGTCATGATGTGAACAAAAACGGAAAAGTTAGTCTACTTGTTTATCAAAATTTCATTTTGATTGAAATTTCATACTGTCATTATTCCATACCTGTCACAGAAGTTGATCTGATTGGTCATTCTGGAAATGACTTTCAGGTGAAGCAAGATGTTCAAGTTCACTTTAAGTCCAATCACTCATCTTTGATTGAGTAATTTAATTCTGAATTGAATGTTGATTGAGAATTGTGTATAGGGTTTTCAAACGTAACTTTTTTGAAAAATTGTTTCTTTCTTCATGTTCACATTATTCGTTGTTCATATGAAAAATGGGTTACTCTACTAATATATCCCATTCTTTTCCATTTGAACAAAGTATCCACTGTAGTTTTGCTAATTTTCCTGAAACGTTTTCGCATTGTCTTTGATCTGTTGATCAAATGCTTAATTCACCTTTGTAATTATTACCGCTAATTTATACGAACTTACTTCCCTACTTATCCCTGTCACCACTTGTGTAGGAGCATTAGCTTTCCTTTAGGATTGTCATTCGAACTTGGTCCTAGGCAAGTCATTTTAGTTTAATACTGATACAATATGCTGATTGAACGCTAAGTTAGTCTCGTAACC